GTCGTTCGTCGGAATCATATTGTATTTTTTTTATTTTTTCCGGACTTTGTTTACCTGACAAAGATTGTTCTATTTTTACCTAAACATGACGTAATTTAATAATATATTATTAAATACATAAATAGTACATAGAATACCTCTTGTAATGACTGTTCTCCTTTTAAGAAATTTATAAATTTCCAATCGTAACATGATTTGCTGCAAAGCCACTATTAAATGCATGATGCCAACCTTCAACGGCGTTGTTGGTCCATGGTTGATTTTTAAATACTGAATCATAACAGTTTCACATGCAAAGATCAAACTGTAGGGAGCGTCTCCGATTGTTACGATTTGGTCTCCCAATTCACGTATCTTCAAAATAATTGATTATTGGAGATAATAGTTCTTCATTTTCCAAAAAAATTAGTTGAATCTATAAGTTCTTCAATGGTTCGAATAACATTAATTGTTGGAATAAACGCCAACGCGCTCAACGATCGTATCTGCATAGAAAACTCAACGTCATCACCATACATTTGTTGTAGACCACAACTTTGAATTTTCCGCCATTAACATTGTTGAAAATGGAAAAAACAGCCTTTAAATTCTGTTGTAGGAAATTCATTTTTAAAAGCTGATATGAAAGCCATTTCAAAAACAACCATAATTCGTTGGGGCGTTAAATTGGAAACTAAAGATTTTAATGCTTTCAAAATTTCAATATACGAATCTTTAAAACGATCTACCATTAAAATATACACAAGAGGAAAACTTTGTTTTTCTTTTTATACCATGTATAGTGTAAAGTTGTAAAAATAATGTTGGCATTGAACGAAATGTACCATCACCAAACCAACTTGAGCATTCTTTTTTAACATATTTAAATTTTCTAGAGTTGAAAATATTAATATACGCTTTTGAATTTTAATATCGTAATATAAAAACATGTAACCTTTGTTTGTTACTAAATATTCACCAGAAACTATTAGATCCTCAACATTTACTGGATTAGCTGGAGGTTTTTGTTGTTTAATTTTTTCTAGTCGAATTCTTTTAGATATTTTTTCTATGTTTGGTAATCGTCCAATTATAGATGTTGGGAAAGTTTCAACTGCATGACTTACTAAATTTCTGGGAGTTAATAATATAGTTGTTTTTGCTTCTTTTTATATTTGTAATATTTTCTTTAATTTTTACTTTAGCAATATCTGGTGCGTGTGAGTAGTGAACAGATTTTTTTATTATATCCCCTAAAATTAAATAAATTATATTAATTTAAAAAAAGAGCTGTTTTTTTTTAACTATTGTTAATAAATAACGATTTATTTATGTATATTAAATAAATTGAATAATTTAAGTTATAAAATTTAAAGTAATTTAAAAATTAAACTTTATTCCATACAACTTAATTTAATATAATAATAAAATTACCTATTTCTTCTCGAGTGGTTGTATAACATGAAGTACATTTATATGTTTTGTACTTTGATTAACATCAAATGAATTTGTTCACACCTTCTTTATAGAAGGTATGAAGGTATCCTTTGTGCAATAGTGACTTGTTGCCTTTTTGACTTATAATAAATTGAAGAGGCATTTTTTTTAAATTTACAAACAGGGTGACAAAGTGAAATAGGAACTAACTTAGTCGATACCAGCTGTGTGCAGTCTATACTGGCACACTATTTGCAGTGGTGGCGAGAACTGTTTGAGTGTTTGAAGCAAATTGTATATTTTTAATATTTTTATCATCAACCATTCCCTTTATTACACTATCGTATCGGTACAGTTTTTACAGCGATAAAATCGTTAATGGTGGTTTGCAATAGCTAGCACGCATAAAAAATATATCAGATAATAAAAAATTGGTCAATGTGTCAGTGTAATATTGTGATTAGTAGTTATTACTCTAGAAATATTATAAATCGGAGATATTTTAAGTCGGAGATATATTAAATCGAAGATTTTTTGACCTGGAACCAGCGTAGATGGTGTCGCGACCTTCTATCAGAAAATTAAATTAATTTAGCATAAAAAAAGAAAAAAACTTTCAAATATATATATATATTTTTTATTTTTATATGAAATTTACAATCTATACCCTAGGGCTTAGATACAATGAGTAAATATGATACAGAATAGACATATAAGGTATCAAAACATATTATTATTAATAATAACAGTTTACAATAAATTACATAGTACATGTTACGTTTGAGAAGAGCAGCCACCCATTAATGACACTTTCCCTTGTTTTTTTTTGAAATATATAAAGGTATATTTTTGTTTTTTTTTTTTTTTTAATCCACTTATTAATTTAGAACTTAATTTATATAACAAGCAAGTCACCGCACCATTTACGTTTTAACCTTATCGGAGGGTTTACGGGGATTGTTGGGGTAGAGAGATTTCTAGCAAGCGAATTGGGGTGAGATAATAAGTGGAGGTGGAAACGTTTGTAATAAAGTTTTGCTTCATCGTGCACTAGGGGCATTTTTAACTACCTTTGTCACATTTCCTAATTATTCTAGTTAAAGATGAATTGTAAATTTCTTATAAAAAAAAAAAAAAAAAAAAAAAAAAAAAATGATTTATAACCTATTATATTATTAATAAATTACCACTGAAATGAATTGCATAAAAAATAAATATTTTTATATTTTATTTTTTAAATTGAATAATTCGATGATTATGACTTACTTATATAATCCATCGTTAAAAACTATTCTTACTTGAACTTAAAGAAATAGATATTCTAAGTCAGCCAAACTGATGTTGATCATCCTCGAACAAATTTATTGCTTAAAGTTTCTCCGTTATAGTCATATGCGACATAGTGTACCTTATCCATTCTTAAATAACCGGCATTTATCTAGCTATGGTCTGTAATAGAATATAATTTATAATTTGAAATTTATTTAATCAATAACAAAATATAGGTGATGTATTCTTTTCGAAGAATTATAATTAAATATGCGTTAATTTGATAAACAAGGTTAAAAATAAAATATAATATTGGGTTCTTTATAAAATTAGACCTTAGAATGCACATTTTTATCTATTATGCATACTTATATCCAAAGTAAAGACTGTATAAAAAGCAAATCATGAATAATTAGTATCAATGACACGCAAACAAAAAGTGATAGACAGTACTGCAAATTCGTAAGCTGATTAATAAGAGTTGGTCATTCCATTAAACAGTAGTCAGTATGTAAACACCCATCTACTTGAAACGATAAATTGTTTGTCGGATTTCAGATAAAAGAATTTCGATTCTTTAGCGATTAACGCAACATAAAATCACTAAATTCTATTATATATTTATGTAAGTAGAGTCATTATTTAATGTATTAGGTAATTATTAAAATAATTATAGGAGACGATAAAATTATTTTCAGTTAAATCTATCCATATTAATACCAACTATAAATATGAGTTCGTATGAAGTTCTTGACGTGGCTTTCAATATAAAACTATACAAAATATTACGTTTTTATGATATATTTGATCCAAAAAGTACAAAGATTTTCGGTTATAATTATTATCGTTGTACTGGAATTATAATTACTATATTAACCCAATCATACATATTATTTGGACTGACGGGATTTTTAATACCGATGGAAGATTCAATAAATTATATAGAGCAATCTATGTTAATTTTTGTCAATTCAATGAATTTTCTCACTGTAATAAAAATATGTGTATTTGTAAATAAAGCAAATAACACTTGGGATTTATTTGATGTAACACGCATAAATTTTCTGAAAAGTGAACAATGTTGTAAATACAGATATAAAATACTAGAAAAAGTTCGTAACAAATCGATAAGACTTACAAATTTTATTGTTGTATTTGCAATAATCTCATTGACTATTTGGATAATATATCCACTAGTTATACATTTCTATTTGACGACAAATGGTCAAAACAATCATCAGCGCTATCAAAGTGTTCTTTATTTGCGGTACCCGGTGACTAAAAATACTTACAATCAATATTATTTTGTTTTTTACACAATCGAAGCGATATTGGCATTTGGTATACTATATTATTCGATATTAATTGATACTGTTTTAGTATCTTTGTGTTGGATTTTCATAGCTCAATATGAAATACTTTCGGAGGCATTTGGAAACATTAAATACGATGACAGTAAGTTTGTATTTAAACATTTTCTTCCTTTAGTATTAGTTAATTGCAAATTTTTATTAATAATAAATATGAACACAACATAAATATTGTTTAAAGTACAAAGTTAAAACGTTATAACTTATAATAAATTCACCAAAAAAATCATGAGTATATTATATTATACTATTTACTGTTTTATAATAATTTAACGAAAAAATGACTCGCATAAATCAATCTTTTCCTTATTTTTCTATTATTAATTGTATTATGATTTAAAAAATCATTTATAGAATTTATATAGTATTCACAATGCATTTAAAGTAGACGGATTTATTTTTCTTTTTTTCTAATGGTTTAAGACACATCTCAATTAATTATAAATATAATTCATTTACGTAGAATAAAAATATTTAGATCATTTTATTTTTCCTATTTTCGTTTTTTTGAGTTATTTTATAGTGTAACGTTTTATTTGTATTTAATGTATTTTGTACATTTTATAATTTTAGAATATACAACATACTAATAGACTAGATATAAACGATAAAATTAATAGTAAATATATAATCAATGTATTTGAATGGTAACGATGAACAAAAAAATTAGAAAAGTTGATTTGTTGTGAATTAAATAAATGAAAATCGATTACTTTCTGGTAAAAATGTATTATAATTTTAAAAACAAATAGTTAATTTGTATCATAATTACAGGGTATAATAAAGTTAATGGTGAAATTTACTGCATAGTCCTATGTATACACATTATTAAAATATTTTAAATATTTTTGGTTAAAAAATATACAAAACGTCACTTTAAATTATTTATTTATGGTCACATAATAATTTGTGCTTTAGTGATTCATAAGAATATTTAATATATTGAATTCAATTATATTTTACTTAATGCTTTTTAACTTACAATATGATTTACAAAACTAAAGTGTTCGATGCTCAACAAGACTTTTTAACAGTTCACCAATTTTTTCTTCTTTTAGAAAAAAAAGATGGTTCCATTAAAGCATATAATGATTTTTTGTCAGTATTAAGTGATCAAAGAAGACTTAATTTGTAAGTATGTAAATCTATTTAGTAATTATTTTGATTTAGTTCTTTATAAAATCAAATTGTTATTATGAATTAAGTAATGATTTTACACTTTAAACTTATCAATAACAGTGATATTAATTGACATTCTTGATGAAATTAAAACTTTAATGTATGACAAGTAAAATTATACGATCTTTATTGCTTTTTATACTTTACTAGCGATATATTTTTCAATAGCCTACTATGCCAAATTATTATTAAAATGGTTCGTCAAATTGATTATTAAGAAGATCAACCAAAACCACCACAGTGGTATTTTATTTTTTATTCTATTTTAAATTTTGTTTTACTATTTATTCCAAATAATTAACACTTTTTGAAATAATTAGTGTTTTGATTACACGTATTGGTTTAATTGAATATTATATTATTTATTTTTATATTAAATCATTATAAAATGAAAGTAACATTGAATTACTTAATATTTACTGACATGAATATATATTTATGTTATTTTGTTTACAGAAAACTTAAACTATATTATTCTATAGTATGGTATGTGGTCTTAACATATGTTGTATTTTGTTCATGCTCAATCATAACATTGACTTATTCATTTATTACGGTAAGAGTTATTATATGATAAGTTTTAATTCTAGTATTCACAATACATATATATTAATAAATCACGTTATAATTCTTCATTTATTATTTTAAACACACAGACATGTATCTCGACGAACGAATCTTTACCAGTTTTCTTCACAATTAGAATCATTACACCATTTATAATGCTCATATCTCAATTATTTTTATATTGCTATTTTTTTGGACTTATAAACCTGAAGGTAATTTACTAAAATCAGCACAAAAATAAAAGTAATATATAACAGCCTTTTGTTTTATTCTTAAATATAGAAAGAATCAGTCATTTATGGAATGTATTCTTGTGATTGGACATCGATGGATTTAAAATTTAAAAAGTTATTACTTTTATCAATGCGGATGAATGGTGCTGATAAATTAATGCTTAAAGCTACACCAACTAAAATTATTAATTTAGAATTTTTTGTTAAAGTGAGTAACAATTAATTATTTTTAGAGATTTTACAAATAACTATTATTGTAAAAATTTTATTACGAATTAATAAACAATTATAAAAAAACATTTATACAATTTTATGTGATGATAACAACCTACAACATTGTGTCTGTAATGCTGAATACATTAAATTCGAAAACATGATTCAAGTAGCAATAAAAAAAAATAGCACTTTTAAAGTCTTTGCTCAATTGATTGTAGTCATTGTTGAGTTACAATTCATTATTTAGGACGTAGGATTTACTTATTCTTGATTGCTGATTAGGGATTAGAATCTACTATTAGAGTTTTTTGTAACAGCATTTCTGGTATTTTAACAGAAACTATCTCAGATCGGGTTTGAGTCTTTGATTGAAGATTAATGTCAATCATTCAATTTTTTTTTTGTTCACTTAATTCTATTCTTTCATAGACAGAATAAAAAACAATTTGAAACAAATGTTGAATTTTTATTTTTCAATACAAATTAGTGATTACTAATGCTTGAAAATTCTAAAAAAATTTATGTAATAATATAGAAAATGTAGCTAAGTAATTTATAAATTTTTAAAACTTAATTTTAAATACATTCCCTAGTCTTAAGATATTAGTTTGATGGATTCATTTTATCTATATTGCAAAGTATATCATAAGTATAATTAAAACTATAAAATTAGTGTTTAAGCTTTTTTTTCTGATTACGCACATTGCTACTTATCGATTCGTAAAAAATGACTATAATTACTACATACAGAGGCGTCATTTAAAGTAAAATCAAGTGGTAGCAACAGTGGAAACCCAGAGGAGGGAGAGCTTATAAGCTTAAGCCTCTCCTCATTGACCGTGTAAAAACTAAAAAAAACTTTTCAACAGTAAAAATGTTGAACAATCATTCATAATACAAAATATTGAGCATGACTGATGTGTTCTAGAGGTAAATTATAGAGTTTAGATTAAATAATTTAAATTTAAACATAATAAATCAAATGTTTTGTTTTAGTGTTACAAATTTAAAGTCAAGAATCGTATCATTATCTCAATTTACAATATTTGAGTAATATTTTAAATACATGTCTGAAAAGTTTGTAGGTAACAGAGGGCTCTTGCGCTTTACATTTCCCCTATTATCTTGTCCATTGCAACAAAAAAGAAAATTATGATACCAGAATAATAGTATTATACTGGTGGGTTCATTGCTATATTTAGTAGTGTCCCAGATCGTCATCAATGATATTTACCATTTGCTAAATAAACGTTAATAATTATTTTCTTATAATTGGTACCATACACAATGAGAAAAATAAGCATTTATAGTTTCGCTAAAAATAGATTAATGTTTAATTATCTTTATATGTTCAAATTCAATATAAATATTATATTATATAAAAACAAGAAAATTGTAATTATTTTTTATTTAATTTCTTGTTGGATAGTATAACTATTAACTTTCTATCCCATTACAATATGGTGGAGTAGTAATTGCTACCCGTCATTACCTCATAATGACGCCCATGCAGTGTACATGTGTTTTTATTATAATTTTTATAAACATAATTTCTCATCATGTCCTGTATGTATTTATTTTGGTTATAATAAAAATAAACGTGCATTATTTGTTTGTAAAAATATAGTTTTATAGAATATTTTTCAATTTTTTACTGCTATAGCGCATATTTATTTTGATTTCTTTTAAGGTCATAAAGTACCTTTTGCGGAGTAATGCGCAAGCAATCTCTGCAGCGCTATCGGTTTAAAAATGAAAAAAAAAAGCCATGAAGTAGGGTAACTACTCATATTTAATATAATTCGAGAAAAACTTATCAATTTGCTGTAATTGTATTGAGGACGAGAAAATATTGAAAAACGTATAAACATATTATAATAATTATGAATACCAATCAAAATCATAAAAATCAACTTTTATCAGTTACACAGAAGGTATTATAGGTATAGCACTAAACGGTCTAAACACTAACGTCGTGTACAGAAATATATTATACAAGTATGTAATAACATTTCAACTTAACAACCTAATAAATTATTTTCACACATACCATTATTATTGATAAGCGACGCTGATCCATTGATTTAATACATAAGAATATGGCATTTTATTTTAATGAAACACATAATTTTTGGCTCACATAACGGATAGAATAACGATAGTTTTCAGTGTTCTCACTAGTACAGAAGTTTATCATCCAAGTTATAAGCTCGGTTAAAGAGCTAACAGGCGAATAAATTTGTTGGCCGACTTATTCGAGCGGCCGTTTGTCGTGTACGCCGTCCAAACTCAAAATGTTTAAGTAGGTGCACTGCAGGAATATTTTGATAGCGTATATTAGATTCAAACGTTTTCTTTCAAACGGCGGCGCATTATGTAAACAAATAATATTATATCCCTTACAGCGTATGAATGTTATGACATTATATCCTACACATAGTACGTCATATATATATATATATATATATCGTATACACGGATTATATTATAATAAGGTCACGGTATGTGTTAAATGTATAATTCAAATATATATGTATTTATAAGTCATACATACCGTCGGCGCTAGTGCATTTTTGGTTGGCCAACGGTGAAATTCGCGTTCAAATAAGTCACGCGATCCGCAAACGGTTTTTGCACGAGACTTAGGAAACCTTTCAAAACCCGCACATACACCTTAATACAGTTCCTGTAGTCCTGTGTACTGCAACAATAGTTCATGGTGTTTACTAGATGCTTGTACAATCGCCCCATGAATACAAATATTCGGTCGGTGTATGCGTTTTGCTCTCGAATTCGCGGGCAAATCGTCGTCGTTATATTATTATATAACTGAAAAAACGAGATAATGGCGCGATATAATAATACGCGTACAAATATTATATGAATGCAAATCGACAACGCGTACAAAACAGTAAAGTATAATAGCTAATTATACAGACGTTTTAGAGATCGTATGCTTGCTCGTTGCGGTCCACTGCACAATATGGGACCGAGTACTTCCTTATCATTAGTCGCGTAAGACAATATTTCATTATTTCTTTGTAGGACATAATGTTCTAGTAATTAATTCTATGTATTAGTATGTAGTTTACATGTATCATAGAATATGACATTATTCAATTGTTACGTCAAAAATAGTATAAAAAATGTAAACTTTAGCGGCAATCTAACGGATCAGTATAAGTATATGAAAGGGTATGTATATCCGCGTAAATTGTATTGGTTGGGCCACCACGTTTTCATAATATACATATTATTAGTATTACTATTATTATTATTATATAGCTTTATAATAGATCAAACGTTGGAAAACAAGCGGCCTATCCCGTTCTTATAATAATTATTATACACAATATATACGTATTATAGGTACACGCTTACATTATCTCAGAAAAAAATTTATAAAAAATATTTGACAATATTTTTTTTTTCAGAATGTTTCATTTGGTACGTTCGAAGGACTTTTACGAAATGGAAACAGAGTATAATAAAAACATGCTTCCAGGTTATATTTTATTGTACCGTTTTTCCAATAGCACAGTCATACAATATACTCATCACGACCTTGGCCTAAATATAATTTAATATACACCTTACACCTAAGCCGATCCATTTAATTCACCATACTCATCGTAATTTTTACGTATGCAAAAATAAAAATGAAAAAATTATTTTGTATCAACTGACCCCGATTGCGGGATTAGGTAACAGGTAGTTCTCTAATATGTTTATATAATCAATAATATAAATATATATAAATATGGATTTTTTTCAAAATATTTATTAACCTATAAATTATAATATTTTCAAGTACTTTTACTAACATAAGCATAGACAAGAAATTTAAATATAAAATATTATCATTAAAAATTTTTATTTTGTTATCTCAATAACTTTTTTTTATCAAATCAAACTAAGTATAAAAATAGAGCAGAATTTTGAAAAAAAAAAAACCGGGAAATTTAATTTGTGTAATTATTAGTACCTATATAATTTAGTCACTCTTACTCGTATTATTGTCTTTATTTTGATAACTTTTCATTTAAGTACCTAATATTATATAAGAAAATAAATTTTATTTTAATCACTTAAACAATTTATAATATTGATAACGTGTTATATGGTAGAATTTAAAACATACACCTTAGATTTTACGTGTGACAATGGATAATTAATAATTATACAACTTATGTAGGTATAGACGATGTTGCACTGCGGCATACATATTTTATATCTTATATTTGATATATGTTAACTTACCCCTGTGGATTGTAACCAACTTGCATGTACGGTTTTCCATACTTCCTTGTTCTCGCATGCGTAGTACTGAAAACTTTTGTTTTAACTCACCCATTTTCACCAATTATTTTTTCATGAATTTTAATGGCCAAATTAAAATTATGGCTAATTAATAACATTTTGAATGTTAGATATTATTTACATGCACTACAACATTTAAAATTTATTTTGTAATCAAAATCATTTTTTTGTTGAGTTTTCCGGGTTTTCCAACTAATTTTCTAATTTCCTCACTAAGTTTTTTTTTGTTTTTGGTTGTGCAACCTATGAATACAAATAATATAACATTAATAAATTAAATAATACTATTTATTAATATTTAAAAATAATTTTTTAAGTTATAAAGGGCTAAATAATTCATTAAGTTAAATTTAAAAATAACATTTAGAGTTATAATGAGACAAATTAATTGTTCAAGTAAAACTCATATTGAGACTATAAAAAAAGTTTTTACCTACAAAACATTAAAATAGGTAGTGTATTTTATGAAATGTTTATTTCTTATACAAAACAAAATTATTGGTAGGTTATTCATAGGGTACTTATTTCAATCCTCTCAAAAATAGCTATTAATTAAAAATAATTTTACATTTGATGGTTAATAAAATAGTATCTTATATTAAGTAAACTATTACACAGTCATTTTTTAACCTGATGAAAATGAGTGAATTTTATTACTTTTAAAGGCGTTCGTGTACTACGAATTTAAAATAAACATTAAACATCACTATTATTTATGTCATTGACCAGAAGGAATCTACAAGATTTTAAAGATTATTAATATTGTGTTTCAAGAATAGATGTAGAGATTATAGATACAAATTTTATTTTTATAAGCAAAACTCTGATTATCATAGTAAATATTGTATAAACACTGCCCTAAAAAATTCAATAGTGGTTTATTTTAGGTACCTACATAGCTACATGTGGTTATTTCTCAATATAATATATTCAAATTATGGTTAGGAATTTTACTAGCATCTATGTAAATATTACAGAAAAATATTTTCAATTAAATTATTTATAGTCAGCTGTAATGGAGGACAACTTATCATTGTTTGCCGATATGACTCGTGTTTATAAATAATTCAGTTAATAAATATTTAAATTTAAAAAAAATACATATCTTTCAATCTTAAAGTCTTTGCTTTAGATGCACATAATGTATAAATAATAAAATATTGGTTTTATTTTAATATTTAATACAAAAAAATATTTAAAAATAAATTTTTTTCTCTATTATCTACAATATATAGTATTATAATGTACTACAGACAACAGTTTAACCTAGTTATAGATACCTATTTTACAAATTATATACCTAGGTGGATAATATTCAAGTTCATATCTATACTATAAATTATAATATTTTTTTCTATTTAATTTTCTATGTTCTGCACGGAATATGGATACATATTGCATAATGATAATAATGATAATACTCACCATAGCCGTGCGTCCTATTAGGTGATAGTAATATTTTATAATATTTAGTTCGACACCTACTTTTCAATCTTATTAGAGGATCATCAAATTTCGAATAGAAAAATAATATTCAAATAAACATCACGAATGGGTCAATGAATCGATCTATCAATCGTGAAATGCGTATAGTTGAAGTGTACGAAAAATGTCCATTTAAGTATAGGTATACATATATTTGTAACGCATACTTTTCTTATAATATTGTACCGAATGTCAATAAAAAGTCAAAAAACTATTCTATATATATATTATATATATAGAATCTATATATATTATATTACTATAGTCACAGTGTACTTACATTTATAAATTGATATTTCACTTAATTTATTTTCTCCTAATCCTATCTAAAACTATTGGCTAGTATCTTAGGACTTGCTATATGAAAGGACGTTATATTGTTATCTTAATGCTTTTCTTCTTGTAGACAAAAACGTAGACGTATCTCTATCATTGCACATCAATCGAATATCTGGCGTGGACGAAAGCAAAGAGGTAAACATCTAATAAAATACAACAATAATAACACATTATAAATAATACTCCACGTGATTCTTTATTCTTAAGTATACTCACTTGAATCGTATCCTTCAATATTATATTACATGCATTCATTCAATTTCCAATGTCTGGAATGTTAAATATTCACTTATAAAGTTATAAAGAACTTATTTTTAAAATATTGCATTTTTACGACATTTGATAAGGCGGAAATCTATAAGTATATGTGGTAATATGATCCTTATGTACGATTGTATTACGAATATACTCTCAACATTTTAATAAATTTACTTACAATTAAACCTGAGTAGTGTGAGTACTTCAATGTATGTTTGGCGAATCGCCCTATATATAAAATACTGACTGAATATCACAGTATCCGATTTTTCGAGTATAGCTATGCTATTTTGTTTTTTTTCAGGAAATAGCGTTGGACGTGTTTTTACACGTGTATTGGGAAGACCCCCGGATTTGGATTTTGGGAAATGCGAGTCAAGTAGAGCTAACCTGGGATAAGGACCCGAAATTTTGGATCCCTGACCTGTACATTAGGCAATTGAGAGAGATGAAGGTGCTAACGCTATTTCAGGACTTAGCGTCGATACGGTTGTACGACAATAGCACACTCCGGATTAGCATTGGGTAACGGACACGAACGGTATACGAAATACTAACCTCCCCAAACCCTTTACATTCATATATTTATAATATATATACAATATACATAGATATAAATATAAATATAAATAATATACGTGTATTGTATTATATTCTGCAGAGCGACCATAATAATCAAATGTGACATGGACTTCGTACTCTATCCGTTGGATGTACAAACTTGCGCTGTAGACTTCGGCAGCTGTAAGGGAAATTTAATTTATATTTTTTTTTTCTTTTTGACTTATGTATTCGTAGGGTTGTTGTATTAAAAATTGTATAAATTTCTATTTTTCACTTGTAAGTGTTTAAAATAACAGATCTTTATTGATAGATGGCAGTAAGTAGGTAATGGGTTTTATTTAAATATATATCTAGGTAATTGAGTAGCGAAAGTGTACTACTATACAGTCTTGTAATTCTGGATCTATGATCTATGTATACATTTATTAATACTGGATGACAAAACTAATAGAAAACTAAATAAATAATTAAAATAATTAATTATTAACTTGTTTTAAAAAATACTATGATTAGGAAGTGCCTAACTAATAACTATAATTTGAAAGAAATTATATTTTCACTGCAAGCTAAATATTTACCTAAATGATCACTAAAATCATTATAATAATATTAAATACATGTTCACTGATTGTTACTAGTATCATTTTATCGAGTAATATTATATTATGTATAAAATGTCTACTTACTGGTAACTTTTCAAAATATTTAAAAAATGGATGTTATATTTGCAGTATCCAATTAAACAGACGTTTTATTGTTGTATGTTATTTAATAATGTGCGCTTTAATGCTATATTTTTTAGTACAATTTTTTCCAAAATTTAAAAATACAACAACCCTGAGCATTTATATAGTCTATTGTATCATACGTTAGTATTATAACTTAACATACGATATAAATATAATATAATATACTTTAAAGACTTAAGTACACATATTTTTTTTTTTATCGTATCGTTGACACACACTTATTTCAACACTATTATATTATAATATAATGGATATGCATACAAAATAATTACTATAATACGTGTGTAATTTCTCCGTGTTTTTATTTTTGGTTTTCCGTATGACGACTGTTAGACAAATACACGATGACAGACATGAAATTTCATTGGAGAGACGATCCATTGATATTCCCTAGCGACTTTGGCGATGGATTTCGATTGCCTCGTTACGTTGTATCGTTTGTCACTGATAATCGTTTAAATGTGATTTATTACGGCGATGGTAAGTCCAGACTTTGCTATATGCGTCTATATTATATTTCCCGCGTGGGTTTACCATGTGTATATAATCATAATGTCCATTAAATATAACGAAAAATTGAAATATCGAATAATGATAATCAATATAATATTTTTGACAGTGATTATAACATTAAAAACCTTTTCCAATGATAGATTTAAATAAAAAATAATTAAATTTGTTTACAAAATATGCCTTGTAATATTTTATTTTAAGAAGTTTTTAAAATTATAAACTATAACATGAAATTTACATGCGCAATTATATTGTTAATTATTCAACAATTTTTATAACTCCCATTTAAATTATAAGTAAAACAATAATTACATATCGTTACCCTAACAGTAACAACACGTATCTGAAAATTTTCGATTTTGATATTTTGATATCAATCGATTCAGGAGAATTTCGCGCGTTGTTATCTAAAACCATGGTTATAGTAAATTAAATATTAACCTCAAAAAGTTGACATTAGTGATAACCCGTATCTGAAAATGTAATGTGACAACGCGTATCTACAATATTTACACTGGCAGTTCGTACAATTGTACACCACTCTCGAAAAATGTAGTGAATTCGTCTCAAATTTCAGGTAATTATTAACTTAATTATAAATATTATACTATAGTATGTTGTACCAAAGTATTATTGATCTATGTATTGTTTTAATGTATTAAATTTGTATTAAAATCCTATTTGAATTGATGTTTTCAGATACGTGTTGTTAAAAACTGAAATATTTTTGATTGAGTCACATACGTGGTTATACTCGCAACGTACCATAAAAACTAAGGTAAACTTCGTATTAGTATAGTATTATTTTAGTAATAATTTTTAGTTACCATGGCCAAACGTCGTTTAAAGACCATATTAAGTTTAGCTGAACAAAATTGTATAGAAGTACCAAAAGCTAATACAGATACCGATTTTGCAAGTATAATTCTAAATTCAGATATTGTATTTCTTGACAAAAATAATTTAAATGAATTATCATCAAGTAATAACTTAGTTGGTAATGAAACAAACTACATTAGTGCTGATGATAGAATGAAATCTACTACAGAATATTTAACAGTTGATGAAAACCATTTAATTTTCAAAGCATCTGAAGAAATAATTGATTTTTCTGAATTACATTTTGGTGATTTATTTAACTATGGTGCTACTGACATAACAATAAATAAAGAAAATGAAGCAAGTAAAGTTACCGAAAGCCTAGAAAAAGTAGAGAGTAGTAGCAGTAACTTCATTAACCATGATGACACTAGTATGATTACTTATGAAATTGATACTAATAAGAGTACTGAAGACAACAACCAAAAAATCCAAAGACTGGTAAAAAGTTGTTACATGTTTTGATTGATATGTTCAAATTATATTATAATTAAATTTATTTTGTTTGTTTATTCGATTTGTTATTTAAAAAAATTAATGTAAACCAAAGACTGGGTAGTTAACTATTGTTTTAATTAGCTATAATATATTTTTATTTTATTATTACTTTTAAATCAAACAAAAAATCCAAAGATTGGTAAAAAGTTGTTACATGTTTTGATTGATATTATGTTCAAATTATATTATAATTAAATTTCTTTTGTTTGTTTATTCGATTCGTTATTTAAAAAGATTAATGTAAACCAAAGACTGGTAATTTAATTTGTTATGTTTTTATTTTTATTTATATTTATTGTTTTAAATAAAAATCTTTTCAGTTATGTGTTGTTTCTTATGTTTTTTAATAATTTGAAAACATTTTTCTACAAAAACAATAACACTTATCTACAAAAACAATAACACTTATCTGTAATATTATTTGTGAATAACACGTATCTACATAAAATAATATAAGAAATTTTTTTATAAGTTCGATTCAATAAAAAGTATAATAAGCTCATGCATGATGACATATTAGATCAATAATTTTTTCAGGTGTATACATTTATTAAAAAGTAGACAGTTTTTAAGCTCTCCTGAAAAATAAGGTTTTTGCAGATACGTGTTGTTACTGTTAGGGTAGCGATATAAATTGGTAACCTTATTTTCAAATTTTTTTGTATTGATATTATAGCCATGTCAATAATAAAATAATTATGTGACGTGTTTATTAAACAGCTAATATATTAATCAATATCAGACACGACTAATTCTCCAATTAAATTAATTTTCTATAGAAAATATTCGAGTAACGGATAATAGTTTGATCAATAGAGTACGATGCAGTGCAAGGTTGCTTCAATATTTTATGAAATTATTATATTATAATTTATATAAACTTCTTCGGATTTAAGGAAGTTAAAAAATAACATGACCTTAAATTAACTAGCGGCTTTGTCGAAAAGATACTACAAGTAAAAAAAGCAAAATGAATACTTTTGCTTTAACTTTTTGCTTTTAATGAATTTTATTTTCATAAATTCTATACATAATAGTTAAAAATATACTTACTAAATTGATGATATAATAGATAAGACAGTTCATCAGGATTACCAAAGTTCTAATTATATTTTCCAAGCAAGGATAACAAAAAAAATTAATACATTTTAAGCTGTTCTCAGCCATTATTTCTAAAAATCCATTTCGACATCTCAAACGCAATAAATTGGTCTCGTGATTTACTTGTTTAAATAATCTAAAAAAAATAATAATCAATAGACGCCATTTTTTGTCATGCTATCACGCCTATAATAATATTATCCAATTTGCTTATTATATTGTATTATTATGTATATTATATATATAGATTATAAATGTTCTATTATTCTTATATTCTAAAACAAAAAATATTACGTTACCTTTATTTAAAATTAAATAACATAATCATACCTACTTATTAAATTCTTAATGAAATTATATGAATGTATTATTTTAAAATAGTTGTTATTATTTTTTTTTCAGTGAGAGAGAAAGTATATGTTCACGATTTATAGTGAAAAAATGCTTCAATTTTAACTTTGAAGGTAGTTTCTGATTAAAAAAACTGATTCCAATTGATGACATAAAAAATCCATAAATAACATTTTCGACAAAAAAAATAAATCAACTTACTTAAACGATTACTGATTAGTACTATTTTATAATTAGTCTGATAGTAAATTAAATTACCCTTATAACAATATAAATGTATCATAAAATAAATTTAGTATTTAAACTGACCGGTTTTGCGTAAAAATTCCAGTTTTTTTCATATTACCAAAAGTAAAAGAGTATTCAGTTTCCATCTTCCTAAAGCACCAATTTTCTAATAAATACCGCTCTCAAAAATTAAAATCTAACCATTCTTCTATAAAAGGTTTATACACAAATAGGTACACAAAAACCAAAAATTAATACATATATCGCTCTACTTAGAATCTAAAATTCAACACGTTATCTAATTTAAAATCTAAAACAAATTAGATATTTAATACTTCGAGATTACGTCAAGATCTTGTACAAATCCAATTAACTTGGTAGAGTGTAATTTTTAGCATCCTCTTTCTATACATATGGCTTATATATGTATATATCAATATAATGTCATCATATTTTAATACATCGCATTTTTGAATAGGTAATCATTCCACGGCCCGGCTTGTGATTACGCTCAGTCGCGAACTCAGAAGTCACCTACTAGAAAGCTACTTGCCAAGCACTTTATTCGTTGTCATGTCTTGGGGCAGCTTTGTGGTAATGCCTGAAGTTGTGCCTGGTAGAATGGTGCTACTGGTCACTACACTTCTGTCACTAGTCACCATGTTCGATACCATAAGGTAATTGTTATATTCTATAATATTTTTACTGTTAATCAACTGCTTAGGTATTAACATGTTTAGTGATAATTTTATGCAATATTATTATATTTTACGTACAATGCTTTAACATAATATATATTATAATAATGATCGACTAGATTTTATTTTAATATATTAAATCTACTAGTTAATATCTAATCCACCCTGAGAACTTGCACTTAGGTTGGTATAAATCTATAATATAATTTCAATGTTTTCTGTCTTTCCGATATGTAAGCACAAAATATCATACATTTGTGAACGACGATTCATTTGAAATATAGTTTATTGTATTAACATCATTATTTAAGAACGTCAAAGTTACACTTTAAGTCCCGTAGTTTTTATTAAGTCTTACACACAATTTTTGATCGCTTTTCGTTTTCTTTAAAATAATAATATATTACAAAGAAAAATTAATTTCTCTACTTTTTTTCACTTACTCATTCTTTCTCTTACCATTCTACAAAAAATGAACTACATAACACCCATTTTTGAAATTATTTGAAATAGCATGATAAGTTAGTATTTTCTAAAAATTATGTCGTGTTCTATACTATAAAAAGGTTTGTTATGAATTTAAAATTATTATACCGACCCAGTTTCTGAATAATTATTAAAAACAGTAATATTTTAGAAAAAAAGTTGCAATAACATGCAATCTCCGTTGATTTTTTTTTTTTAAATGTCCTCTTTTTACAAAATAATAATTGCATTCCGTATAAATTATATGGTACATGGCAATTAATCAATGGTATTTAGTTTAGAGATTAAACTATAAAATAAATTACCATAAATTATAATTTAATAATTTAATTTTACAATTCTAATTATATTCGGCAATTTAAATTAATAATATCAAATAAAACTATCACTGACAACAAAAGTCAAAAAAAAAAAAAAACTAAAAAGAGTCAAAAATATGTATTGTCTATAAACAGCTTTCATAAACTAATAAACTCTTTTTAAAACTGTTTAAAATCATTTATTTACTGTAATTCATTTTTGAATTTTAGCAGAATAACAAAATCGTTTTAAAAAAAATTTGTATTGCGTATATATTTCCGCTTGTCTATAATTTATTTTATATTTTGTCCTAATTGCTTAAAAACATTAGGAATTACACCCCTCTTCCCATTTTATATCTACTAGATACCACCCCAAAGATGATGATTAAAGCATTTTTTTACTGCTCCAAAATATTATGACAGATACAAAAAAAAACATACATTATTAAACAAATACTTTTATCACTCAGCTCAGAATATTAACTATACAGTCTAAACTATATAGTGTATAGTTTTCGATAATATTATGATCTAAATTTTTAGCATACATGGTGCTTTTGTCTACAAATGGAGCAATATAAAAAAGTTAGTTTCCTTCAGAAATATTAAAAACCACAAAATATTATTAAGTATAAAAGTGTTTAAGTTATGTCCGTGCACGTAATTCCAAAATGTAATTTTATATGTATAATGTATATAAAATATTTATTTAAAATATTTTACCATCCTAAACGTACATGTAATTGTCGTAGGTTGTAGATATTTTATTACGTATGTAATTCAATATGCTATTGCTACATATTAATATTTGATATAATATTATATACAATTATTACTATGTATATAATACTATAATAGTTAATAGTACTCTATACCATATGTATATACAGTAATGAATAATAGTAGTTTAAAGTTAAGTAAATAAGATAAATGAAAAAAAAATTGAGTTTCCAAAAAATGTATGGTGGATATTTCTGGGATATATATGATAAATATATCGTAATGTGAAATTAAAAACATAAAAATAATTAGTCCATAATGTTAAAGTATTTTTTTTTTACATTTTTTATACACAATATATTAAGTAAAATATTAGAATGATCAACACATTGAGATTTTTTTTGCAATTTAACGAAAATTGCATTCATTAGTGGTATGTCAAAATTTGTTTAATTTTGTTTTTTTAACTGTTAATTTTAAATTAATGATCGTCTAACTTAATCACAATGATTAAAATATTAAAAAAATATTTTTAGTTTTTTTTCTCGTTTAATATCAAATAAATTGAAAATAATATTCGTATTTTTCTTCTTTTATACATTTCGTAAACTTATTTTATACTTAAATATTTTACAAATTCTCAATAATAATTATTATCTATTATTATTATATTTTGATAAATTTTCCAACAAATATTATTATATAGTATAAAAATAAAGATATGTACTACAAGATTAAAATCTATCAGAATATTCAGAATATTCGGTACCTATATGCATGTATAATATATTTATGTAGGTATATTAACATGAATGTGTTTATGTTACATACGCTTTATCACTAACTATGTGAATTTGTAAATTTCAAAGAAACAATCCTCTCTGACAGCATTTTTCTTTAAAGTCGACCGTAAGCAGCTTTTGAGGAGATAGCTATAAAAACTAAGACAATATAATGCATACAATAAATCAAATCAAATCCTTATATACTAATAACGAATCATTGATTCATAAAATATTTAAATATCAAGTCCACAGTTAATTATTTAAATTTTTTGTTCTGCTTTATTACTAGTTAATAATAATTTGTAAGATATAGGTTTATCGGTCAATCAAACTGTTAAACTAAAATTATTATTCAAACAATCTTCAATTCTTTAAAACCAAAATTGTTTAAATCGCGTGGTCACGGCGATTGCGTGTAATGTGTTCATGACATATGTAAATAAAACATTATATATTTTAAAATAGCACAAACTTTATAAAAACATTATTACTAATTTTTGTGCGATTTCCAAGTTTTTTTTTAATATTTACAAAATAAAAAATAAAATTACCAAACGATTTCAAAGGATAATAATATATAGAAAACTTCAAAAAAGTTTTTAAATCCTCAATTATTCATATGTTATACGTAGGTATAAAGAAAATCACTATGATCTCGGTGCAACAGCGGAATTTATAAAAATCAAAATCATTTTATTAAACGATTCATTAGAAATTTTTAACTTAATGTAAGCGTGATCTTTTAATATAATTGAATTTAATATTTTATAAATGGGCATGGTAAATTTTAAACACAAAATATATGAACCATTCGTCCGTTTGAAAAGTTTTCAAAGTAGTAAGCATCGAAAATAGTAAATACATTAATTATAGTAAAATTCCTTAAGTTTATTTTGCTGTAAAAATTATATTTACTCAACGGAATTCTAACCATAATGCATTATTATTTAATTGTCCAAGTGCTTAAGTTAAGGTACTATTTATAATGTATATATTGAGACATGGAGAGGGACAAGTTTTTTCATTAGATAATGTAGTTTTACCCCAACTATAATTTTAAAAAATTGAAAATTTTGAACTCGAATCATTATAACGGTTTTTATGTTCCTTAAATTATAATTTTACCGGTATAATTGGCATTGTAATCGTGATCTCGTGATGCTGTGCTATAAAAAAATCGAGTGGGTACACCTACAGGTATACAAAAGATAAAAATTATTACCTTTAATATTTCAACTACCATGAAACAATTACCAATGAACTAAGTATTTCGTATAATGTGAATGTTTGAATAAAACATCTGTTGATACATAATTCCAAACGTTCCAATAACACTACGATTAGGATGGTTGTTATACACGCAATCTTTTGTCATATAATGTTGTCTGATCGTTTTTTCTTCATAGATCTATCGCATTTTTTTGTACAACTGCACAAGAATCACGGTCTATAAATAAAACAAAGATTTTATTTAATAAATATTTCACAACTTATTTAATACTTAGGCTTTAGAAACTACACTTTTTATTCGTAATGGTTCATAATAATTATTTAATAATTTAGATCCTCGCGTTACATTATTATTATTATTATTATTATTATTATTAAATTAAAATGTGTAAATATAATTATTAGAACATATAGTATATAAAAAGTACTTATAAACTCATACTTTTGTTTATTATATTCATCACAATTTAAGCAAAGAATATATAATATATTATATGATATTATTGTTCCTCATTCATCAACAATTATTTTACCACTCCGCTAAAAAATGTCTACATAAGTTTTTAAGCTAAATTATTTCTTTGATCAATCTACAATCATTCTCATAATCGCGTTTCACCAAGCTACCTACTTAGAAATAATTTTAAGTCAATTAAATTTTAATGAAAAGTTAAGTTTTATCTTTGTACTTAATATTATAGAGTCGTAAGAAACTCTACTAGCGCCTGAGGCAAGTTTGAGTATATGCGTCTCCCCTTCCATCAAAAAGAAATTCTCATCACTTGAAAACTTTAAACTATTAATTATTTTTTTTATCAGATAAGTATATATTTACAAGTATTTATTTTAAAATAAATTGTTATTGAGGTAAAAAAAATAAGATAGTATTAAATGAAAGTGTATTGTGTAAACAACAAATTAAGTTTTTTAGTTTTATAATTGGATTTTTCTCGATTTTATTACCAAAAATTCATTGATAACATCTCCAAGATAAAATTCTCCACCAATTTGATTTTTTTATAAATAAAATAGCCAAGTTTAAAAGTCTCTCCTGGTCCATAGCTGATCTTAAATAATTGTTCGATGGTTCCGTGATATTAGATTTATCTTTATAAAGTATCAAAGTTAATCTAAATAATTTTGAATCACCTAGTTTAGTGTTATTTTTCTATGATCTTGTTATTTATTTTAAAAGAAATTCCGAAAACTTATCATTATAGGTACATTATCTAGATCGTTATGGATTTTCACAGAATCATCAATTTTTTAATGATGAACAAGGAGGCACCGTTGTAGATGTTAAAAACCACTTTTCAAAAGTGTTAGCCAACTTCTTGTTAAAAACTTTCATTTTTTTTTTTTTTTTTATTCTTGCAATTTTAAGCGCCACTATTCTTTTTATTAAATATTTCGGACCCGATTTCTAAACCACAAAAGATAAGCAAAATATAAGTACCGTGTTCGAAAGCAAAATAGATTAAAAATTAAAAAATTAAGAAATATACGACATTGGCTAGTCATGGTTCTGTAAAAATGAAAATGAAATTAATAGTTGTAATGCTTTATATTTATTTATTTATGATTTATCACTATGTTCAGTATTATTTACAAAGCACGAATTCTTATGAACAGAAAAGGATCAAACTACGTACGTCATAAAGTTTGTCGTAAGAGTCATTAGAATATGCAATAAAAAATAAATAATTAAAACTTAAAAATTGTATTGGGTTAAAAAAATATATTAATATTACAGAGTATAAACGGTGACTATCCATGTAGCATGTAATTTAGGAAATATCAACAGTATTATCCAAGGGCGGATTTAACAATTTGTCGCCCCCGTGCCAAATTAAATTCACCGTCCCTATTCTAAAAAAATAACTTTTATGTTACTAAATAATAAATATTCTTAAGTTAATTTATCTTTTCAATAATAAACAATTATTTTTTCATTTAAGTTAATTTCAGTTTAAATATCTGCTTTTTATTTTTATAAAGTAAAAATGTATGAAAATAAAAACTTTGTAAATTAATAATTTACGCGTAGGTACGTGTAGATGGACAACTATCGACTAATTCAATTATAAACGGATGAACCTTAGAATCGAACTGTCAAATAAACGATGTAATATTATATATTTTATAGTATACGTAGTGAACCGTACCGATAACAATTTCTATAAAGCAAACGTTTACATAACGTAGGTATATAGATATAATACATTATATCTATATTCCATAAATATTTAGATAGGCAATAATAAAGTACAACTGTTGTTTTCATCGACAAGTCCCCGGGAAAAAAAAATAAAATATTACTTAACTAAAAATAAACGAATAAAAAATCTGAATACACCGTTCAAAATTTAGAAATGGTAAAATAAAAGAAAAATTATGCAAGTTTATTCTATAAAAACAAAATAAATAATCGATACAATTTTGCCGCTTTGTGCGCGCGGTTGCATAGTTTGCAACGCCTTAAATCCGCCCCCGATTTTACCTACGTTCTACATGTTTTCGTGCTCTTATTGATAAATATTATTATTTCAGTACAGTTTTATTAACAAGTTACTAAGTACATAACAAAATAAACGTTTAAAATAATAAACTACTCATCTACTCACAAAATGGATGTTGGATTAGTCATCTGTTGTCCGTAATCGTCGTATTGTGAAGTGTTGCAGTTGATTAACAGAGTAGCGCAGACGACGATCATTCAATGAGAGATAAGTTGACCGGCATAAATATTATAAATTTGTGTTTGTGTGTAGCGTAGTTGGCTGACGAGTAACGAATATAGTGCGAGTACCGAGTAGTCGGAAGATAAGGATTGACGAATGACGGCTGCCGACTTGGGCAGGTAAATCTTGGGATTTACCAAAATAAATATTTATCGTATAGGTATTAATAGGCACCACTGATTGCATAATGATAATTTTAATTTTAAATATTATTTACAATATATTACGTAAAATTAAGTTTACCGTGCAAAAACTTTACAACAACAGTAAAAGAATAATAATTATCAAACGCACAAAAGATACCAAACACGCATTAAACTTATAACTTATGTAATTGAACGGTTAAATTTTTTTTAAGTAAAACATTTTTAAATGCTACCTGAGAATGTGATAAACCAATATTTGAATTTAAAAAAATTGTCAAGGTTTAACGCCCTCATTGCATTAGCGCCCAAGGCAAGTGCTTCAATCGCCTGACACTTGTTACGCCTTATATTTAATTAACTATTTTTTGTAAAACTGGCAGTGTGTACGTCGTAATAATTAGCAGGGGAGGTGGGTTACGACAATATGGGAATATGATTTGTACCAAACCTCAGCATGGGCAAAAATTATACTGCCTAGTTTCCAAGGATAAAAGTTTAACCTAATTTAGTCTATCGATCCCTATTGTAAAGTAGGGTAAACCAGGGAAAAATTAAAAGGTACCACAAAGACTATTTATTGGCCACAGATTAATGAACGCAAATTAGGACTGTCATTAATTTATTTAGTAAGTTTTTAATATGTTAAGTGTATTATAAATATGCATATAATAATATATACATTATACACGTGATAAAGATACGGTAGAAAACATTTTGTGCTTTTAAATTGTTTGTATTACACTTTTAGCAACCCGTTGACGCTCGATCCTATAGGTATATATTTTTGACGTTAAAAGTAGTCTAGTGACATGCCGCACTAACCATCTGCTTAAACATATCCTACAGTAAGCTGGTGTCTCGTCGTGTTTGTTTAAAATCTACGAAATACTATTTTCAAAAACGTTATTACTTTTACTCACACTGCAAAGATGTGCGACAATGTTTAAAATGCAAAGCATTTTTTATTGATTTACCTGAACAACAAAAATTATTATATGACAGTAGTTATAGTGTGAGTATAGTAGGTACTAGGTATTAATGGTTGATATCTATAAAAATATTTCAAGTCAGAAAAGATAAACACGGTGGACACTATACGCCTAGCATATTTTATTATATTGTCGGAAAGTCGTTTTACCAGACGTTTTTGCACTGCCACTGCGCAGGAACAATTCGCCGAGTGCGCTGGAACTGAAATGCATCGAAGTGTGGCTGATATCATGCACGCTGTTCGTATTCTTGGCATTGGTCGAGTACTTTATTGTGCTATTCGGCATGCGATATGATAAACATTGGAGACATAAAAAACACAATCTAGACGGTAATGGAGGTGCTCCAAACAGACCGTCATTGTTTGGGTCCAACAAAGTTCACGTAACATCTGGAAACGATGTGGCTACAGAGGAAGATTCGGTAAGCGTGGTGAGTGTAAGAGTACTCGTCTTCAACCCTATGTAACCTAAGCCTAAAAAAAAAAATACACGAAAATAGTTTATCTTGGTAAATTAATTTAATATTTATAAAGATTCAGTGGTACCTATTCAACATGACGATATCTATACAGTGGCGTATTTGAAAATAATTTGTTTTAAATGTACCTATAGTATATTTTAAATAATAATACCTTGTACAAATATAAAATTAAAATAATAATTTAAAACGTTACACATTTAATAAAATTCTTAAATTACTTTTATAGGAAGTTATGATAGGTACCAATTGTAATTTTATACATGTAAGAACCTACATTAGACAATAAAATCATAATATGAAAAAATTCAATTATTTAATATTAATTAATATGGTACATTTTTTTCGTATTATAATAATTTCCACTGATATGTGAGCCGTGAAGGAGCGATGACGAGACCGAATAAAATAAAAATAATAATTCAATACACAATTTCCTGTGTTTGTTTTTGCTATTCTACAGATTGCAAAAGCTCAACATCCCACATCACAGCAACAAATATTGACGACGAACAATGGACCAGCGCAGGTGGTTACATCCACTGGAAAACTACGATTCCGGTTGGTTGCCAAACATGTCATATTGTATTGTGGATCGCCAAGAGGCATCTTGGACCAAGTGTCATTAGCACTGTTCCCGTTGTGCTTTATCCTTTTCTCTGTCATGTACTGGATATCGTACATAACTGAGTCTAGACGGAAATCGATGGCAGCCGTTATTTAACGTCTCAAAAAATAATATCATGTACGTGTTATGATAATAATAACCTAACTTATAAGTGTCAATAACCTTCAATGAAATAAGTATATTGTGTATTGTTTCGGTAGTACACCTAATCACGTGAGTATAGTTTTGAAATTCAAAATTTACTTTTTCACCTAGTAAATTTCAATTAACACGGTATTTAAAAAAAAAAAAAAATGATTTTTTGGGACCTTTTATGGTAATAATTTAGATTTATGAAATTTAAGTAATTTAAAAAAAACGACTGACGTTCCTTAAACGTAGGTACTAGCCTATTTGTAAATTTTTGTGAATACCATACACTAATAAAAACTAAAAAGGTTGTAAAATTAATTTTTTTGAAAATAATCGTCAACAGATGACTGACTGTGGTCCTATTAGAGATAAAATAATTGACCTGCCTGCGCCTAGGTAACTACAGCTGCACTACATTCATACATTCGCTCAAAATCTAAAACTGATCATTGTAAAATCAATAACTGCTCCACTTAAAATCTATAAGAACGGAGTAAAACGAATTATTCTAATAATTTTGAGATTATTTGCTGTTATTCCTTGTATGTTGATAAGACACTATCGTGCTAATAAATGACAATTCATCTTATTAACATATTTATAAAACTAAAGAAATATACAAATACATTATAATTATGATATTATATTGTATTATAATGAATAATTTTAAGTTATAGTAACATACAAGACTTTTTTTGTACTTTAAGTCTTCACGCTCTACACCTCCCTCTGATACTTACTAATGATTTAAGTGACACCATCGCTAAAGCAGCAGTCAATATCTCCATAACAGTTTGAAGCAGTGGTATATTTAAGATTTTGTCTTAGCGGTAGATATGAAAATTTCCAGTAATTACTAATTATATTAAAATATTACTATTTATCATACATATAATAAAGTGCCTTTTCTGGAGCCTTATTAAATTCATCATTCAAGCTATAAAATTAATCATCACTTTCACTTATTATTCTATTTGTAACAGATTGTGGATTATATTATAAAAAATAAAATCAATAATATATAATATAATATACATACCCATTACAGTATTAGTTATTTATACTTTTCAATTTGCCACTATTTATTTTATTATAGGTATAAAAAGATTAAAGATCAATAATAATCAATTTATGTATTTTTGTAAAAACATTAAATACTTATCTTTATTTTTTTTTTTACAGCTGCCAGTCAAATGTGAACACCAACACCATACTACCAACTGATGTTATTGTATTTTTAAACATAATTTTTCTTTTTTACTAATTTATAGAGTTAGCATAACATCTAGGTATTTTAACTTTTTTAAGTACATTGTATACATTGTTAAGTTATCTATACCCATGTCATTGAGTTAGTATAAAAATGTGCTTACTATAAAAATAACTTTTATACTTTCAAATCTGCACAGCTGATATTGTTCACTTTCTTATATTCAATATTACACTATTTTACTGTTATATCGATATACAATGATGGTGAATAAATCATAATTTATTGGAAAAAGTTTCCAACTCCATGAGTAAAAATATCTTCTATAATATTTATGTTTTAATATTCAAATATATTTTTTTGTACACCTAATTTTGTTTTCTATTCTACACGTTAACATAAATAAATAACTATTAATCATAGCCCATTAAAAATGCTTCAGCATATGCAAGTTCAAAATCAACTGTTCTTCCTCTAATTCTTCTTCCAATAGGTTCTAAATCTGCATAACAACGATCAAATACTTTCTCGACTGCTTCTTTTGCTTGCTCATAAGTGACATTTCTAACAGCTAATACAGAAATAACGGCTTTATGTTTTACACAGTCCTAAATAAAAGTAATAATACAAATAATAGATTATAAATATAAAATATAAGATCAAAAAAATATAATTTAAAACAAATATATACAAAATAGATAGTACAATCTTATCAATATAACATTTTATACCTACAATTTATAAAATTCTAATAACTAGCAGTCTATATAAACTACCAGGCATGTATACAGGGGGATTAGGCAATTAACTATCCTCCTTCCCAGAAAAAAAGTATAAGTAATATTATATTGATTATTGTAAAATTGTTTATGAACCTCTCTCTCCCACTTATTTTAATTTTATGTAAATCCCGAATAACTACTAAACATATTAGTTGTAAGTCTAAGTTATACTAAACCAAAACCCTCAATAAAAAAAGGAATAAAATTGTATACATTTTAAAAAGAGCTGAATAATTTACTTTGATATTTGAAACGGAAAAAAATATACTTGAATATCTTGATATTCATAATTAAATTTATTAATAATACACATAAAATGTTATATGATATTTCACAAAAGCGATAATAATAAATGTTTAAGATATTGATAATCATCTATCACTTATGTTGATTATCAAAATTGTACTGTTGAGTAATAATATTAATTCTTACTTGGTGTTTTTTTCTAAAGTTAAATATTGATGAATGCCCTTCAAGTATAGATGATACAAGTCCACAATGTGTCAAATTTGCTGCTCTGATTTCTGTACAAGCTAAATGCTCAATATTCCGGAAATCTAGTTTACGTGTACAATTGTCAAACATGTGTATAAGTTCATGTATGAGCACTCCCTGTATGGTACCCTTTGATGTAGCAGTGTTTTGACAAATAACAACCTATTTATACAAAACGAAAATAAAAAATGTAATAATATAATAATAATAATAATCATATACTTGATTCATAATTGGATCATATCCTCCATGGACACTTGAATCACAAAGTTCACAAGCAATATGACGGGATGGATTGACTTCGCTAAAGATATAAAAATAATTTATTGTAATTAATACTAATTATAGTACTTACAGTGTCACAACTGTATAACATTCAAGTTATGAATCAGTTTTTATAGGACAACACCTGTTTGTTTTCCCCTTGGTAGACTATAGAGTAAATGAAGTCATAAGAAAGCAATGTCAAAATGTTGATGGATTTATTTCATATATTAAAAAGATATTTTTAAAAGCACCTTCACATGTAAATACTTTCAACAAAATATATACAATTTGTATTTCCCTCCACAACCAATATTAACTCGTTGAAATACATGGCTTTTAAGCAGCAATTTACTATGAGAAATATTTCAATGAGCAAAAATATGTTATTCATGCTTTTGACCATAATTTAATATAAATAGTATAATACTCTCAAGTACAAATATACAATGTTATCAAAATAATATTATTCTGAATTTTTTTTTAATAAGCTTTTTTATACTTTTGTCTAATATTTTTACTCAAAATCATAAACTTTATTACCATTAATGTGTAAAAAAACATTGCATTGCTTATGGTATGAATTATACATTTCATGGATTTTTATTGTAGCCCTAGTCATTACCTATCTTATATTGTTATATTTTATACAAATAAAAAATATTTAAGATTTAAAGTTAAATTACTCAACTTGCTTAACTTTATAAAAATAAATATATTTTCAATGCTGGTCACTAAATACTCATAATTTATTATTATAAATTTTTATTGCTTTTGCTTAAATCATAAAATTAATTATAATAGCTAAAATATACATGTAAAATTGCATGTTATCTGATTTTGAAAATAACTTGTTTTTATAACCGTTTTGTAGGAAAGTTTAGATAGAACACTTTAATTTGGAATAAATTTACTCCAAGCAACTCATATTATTATATAGGTTTTATTTATTGCAATGTTAAATATATGCGTATAAGTTATATATCATACATTCTCTAAATGCATGTGAAAAAACCATAATAATATTTACCATCAAAGTCACCAGATACTTTATAAAGAACAAAAGTTTAAAAAGCTAGTAAATTTAAAAAGCAATTGAATAAACTATTTCAAAATAACAATAACATAATTAAATTAGTTAAATCAGAAAGTTATTATCAGTATGACTAATTCAATAGCATTATTTAATAACTAATTAAAACTATTTAATAAATAGATAAATTTAATTTGACTCGTCTATTATAGGTATTCAATTACTTTGTGACCATATTAATGATTAACATAATACATAGAACAAATTATTAAAATAAATGTACATTTTACAAATACATTTGAGTAGAATGTTTACAATGTTTGTAAAATATATGTTAGTATAACTTCCTTGACAATAATTTTTAATTAAAAAAAAAATTAATCTAATTATTCTGAATTAAATATTTATTAATTTAAATAGTTTTATTAGAGTTTTATAAAATGTATTATTTATTAAAAACTTATAAGAGAAACAATTGCATATTTAACTACACCCTAATTATTTATAATAGAAATTTTGATAAATTGTATAATCACTTAATCAAATTAATTATTTAACAACACCTAACTCAAACACTAAAAGAAATATTTAACTTCACTTTTATCAATTTTATCTAAAAAAATAAACAGAACTTACCAACCAGATCTCCGCAATGCACCCATCATGATCTTTACTAATGGACCTATTAACATAAAATATAGACTCAGTTATTTCTTTTTATAACATTTAATGTGTTCCAGTAAATATAACATAATATACTATGCATACTTTTGCTTATACAGTAAGCCACTTTATTTTCGCACTTGATTCTTTCCAAGTTTTCATTTCCACGTCCTTGAAATAAAATATTTTTTAAATTTGGTTTGTATGTACCTCTCCTTTCGGGAAATAAATCAAATCCCCATCCTTCATAGTTATCTGTAGACTGTGAGGTGGTTTGATCTTTGTTTTCCTTATGTTCAGCCATGAGTGTTATCTAACACACAACATTAGTTTCATAGAGAAAAATTAGAAATGATAGTTATTAGATTATATTTGCAACATATTTTATGTTGTATAAGACAGAAGACTTGCATAATACTATATAGATAGGTACTTACATCAGGATACAAAAACGAGTTGTACAAACAAATCGTTTAATAAAACAAACAATTATTGTTGAGAATCATTAGTTTGTTACTCGCTAAACATCTAAATAGTAATTAGTTATTAGTCAATTATTGTTTTAAGTTATATTTTTTTTTTTAAACACATGTAATTCATTTTTGATCATTTTCTTATCATGCCGACTGAACCGTATCTGACAAGAGTTATCATTTTCGTCATGTGTTAACTGTTAACCAAGGCATAAATGAATTTCGTTTATTTTACGTAGGTTAGTCTAAAACGTATAATATTAAATTATTAAACTGTTTTACTGACCATAATCTTAATCTATACAAGACCGTCAGGTTTATAATAATCACGTACCAAGGTTTAAATTTATCTCAATTCGTGCCGTTCATAGTTCTTAGATTAGGCATCGTATCACGTTATGCACATATTTTACCACTTACACAGCAATGTAAAATAATGAATAGAATATTACTTATTAGGTACGTGAACTAAGGTGTTAACGATAGTGTATTAAAAATAATCAGCATTGTTTTATTATTACATTTTATCGTCGGTAAATCACTATCAAACTTTAAAATATAATTTTTATAAATAATCATGTGTCGACATAAACAACAAAATCTACCTACAGCTGTAAACACGACTTATCACACGATGGAATACGATTTTATTTCGGTTTGATGATCAAAACGTGTACGTCCATCACGTTCGTGCCAGTGTGTCCGATTTTTAGCAGATCGCCAACATCGCGACCGAGGTCGAGTGACGAGTAAAATCCATAGCTGTCGTTGTTGTCGACAAACCGCGAAGCGTCCAGGCCTCGGGACAGCGCCACGTCCACCAGTGCCGGGTAACCGAACGCTCCGCACGCGTCGGTCGGACCGTCCATGCCGTCCGTACCGCCGCTAAAAAACAACACGTCGAACCGGCACAAAAGGTCGTCCTGAAGTCTCGTCAAGTCCAAAGCCACCCTCAACGCCAGCTCTTGGTTCCTGCCGCCTAGACCGCTGCCTCGAACCACGACCGTGGGCTCGCCACCGCTCAGTAGACACAGGCCGTGGCCTTTCGTCGACGCTTCGACAACGCACTTCGTCAGGTGCTCGACGTCAACGCCCCCGCCGCCGACTACCGAAGAAGACGCCGTCTTCAGCTGGTCTTTTCGATTCACGTCCGTCGCGCCGCCGCCCGCGTACAGGTCGCATACGTACGCCACAAGATCCGAATAAAACGCCGACACCAGAGCCACATCGCCGCGGAGTGAAGTCGTCAGCAGTACGGCCTCGAAGTGCCGGCCGGCGTATTGGACGCCCGCCCGAAGCGCGATCGCGTTGTTGCCGATCACGTGATTGTGGACTCTGTCGAACCTCGCCGCCGAGCCGGTGAACGAAACGTTTCGCAGCAGCGCGTCAACGACGGTCTCGGGCATGGCGTTCCGCAGACCGAAACCGTCGACGATTTCGACGGGCAACCGGTCGGGATCGTCGTTGGGTACAGTCGGTCCGCTGGCGATGGCAGTCAGCGGGTCGCCCACAACGTCGGACAGGATCAACGAGACCACGGTGCACTCCTCCCGGACCAACCCGATCAGTCTACCGCCCTTGACCCGGGAAAGCGCTTTCCTCACGACGTTCAACTGTTCGATGGACGCGCCGGCCGACGACAACAGTTTGGTGGCGAGGATCTTGTCGCCCAACGGCACGGTCGGCGAACACAACAGCGCCGAACCGCCGCCGGATATGAGTACGACGAGCAAATCGCCAACGCTCAGACGAGACACCGTGCCCGCGATGCGATCGGTGTTCTCCACGGACTGCCGATCGGGCACATTGTTCCTGGCCGCCTCCATGACGCATACCCTGGATTTTTTGTCCAGCGAGGAGGGCAGTCGGCGGGTTCCGAACGGAACGCTCACCGCGACCTCCTTGAGACGGTCGCCGAGTACGTTCTCCAATTCCAGAGCCATGTCCAGCACCGCTTTTCCAAAACCGATCGCGTAAACGTCGCCGGGCACGGTGTACGTCGAAGAGCTACTGCCGTCGTCGACGTAAAGCTTTTTCGAATCGAATCTCACCGTGTTTTTGACGATCGTTCTGGGCGACACCGATTTTACGCATTCTTCGAAAATCTTCACCGCGTATCTCTTCATGTCCGCTAAGCGATCATACTCCAAAGACATAATCTGCCGTCCTACAAACGACGCGGCGAACAAGACGTCGAATAAAAACTGAATCTTCGATTGAGAATTGTTTTTCGTAGAAATGTCGAATAAACTAAATTCACCCACTCACCGTGCGTCGATGAATAAATATTGTCCGCCGCAGAGCCCACAATCGTTTCGTATGAGTGGTTTTTATCCGCGACAAGTCCGTTTATGTGGAGTACGGCAACGGACTACATGATAGTATGATACGTACAATACAACTGTCAATACTCAATACTGTTACCTCGTAATAACGATGAGCAATAATAATTATGATGGTACTTCTCGCGAGGAACAGTAATTATTACGTAGAACTAAACACGACATAACGTCGTCGTTATCAGAAACGATCGTCGATAGGATTATTCGTTCGAACCGTAGCGCAATACCGTGATATTATAATATGTTACGATTCAAATTCTGAGCGCGAAAGTTTAATAGAGATGCGTAAAAACACGAAAGCTGTTTTTTTCCCAAGTCAATGCCAACATACAGAGTACACAGCACCTGTCCGCAATAGTTAATTGACTACATACCTGCGTGTATTGAGTTTTTACAATTTTCGTTAATTTTCTCGAGTAGGTATATAAATGCTTCTGGAAATGCTCCAATACACTGCAATGATCACATACGATTAATTCTGTCCGAGTTTTAAAATTTATTTAATTAAATAGGTACTGTAGTAAAAAACGGACAATCGCAAAATATCAAAGTATTATAAATAATGCTATTAATAATAATAAATTATGTTGTATACCTACTGACTTTTCCAGAACCATTACTAGTCGATGGTAAAAATGGTTAAGACCAATGGTGTATCCATTTTAACGATTTACTAATTACATTTAATGTAAATTCAATTAAAAACATCTTACAGTATTTCACCGTTATTTTTTAGTTGTGGATTTCATTTTCAACATATTAATGCTTGCAAAACAATGTGCACACTTGAAGATTTAAATGTGTAATTGATAAGGCTATTAATAGAAGAGTTCACTAAAATGTTTTTTTTTTAACGTGTCTCCATCACTGCCACATATCAGATTTAGATGATAATAATCATGTTTAACTAATGCCGTGATTTAAATTTAAAACAAAATAGTAATTAAAATTTGATCATTTTTTTTTTTTTTTTAAACAACGTCGTTAATAAAAATGTAGATGTTTACTAAACATTTGGTTTGAGTTGATTTACAAAAAAACTTCATAATTTATTTCACTACATATATTTACAAAATACAATGTTAAAAAAATTAAACATTTGCAACTAAAATGTGCGTTGGTTTTGTATTAATTCTTAAAAAAAATACAACACAGCATCATGCTGCTTGAATACATTTAAAAACAAAAATCGTTACACGTATTAGGATGGAATAATATTATAAGGGTTAAAAATATAATATTTAACAATAAGATAGGTTAAAAATAATTAGGTAGTAGTAAAATTAGAAAAAAAAATTATAATAATTAGAGTAACACTTAAAGCAAAATTAGTACAAGTTATAAACAATTCAAAAAAAATAGAAAGCATACTATGTTAACAAATTTAAAAATAAATTGATATTTTTTTAATTTCAGGAATCTTGACTTATATAAACTCATTGATTAAAATAGCTTATTTTGAAAATGTTTAAAAATTTAAACAAGTAGAGAATTACAGACATTTAGGATCTTATAGATATAACAAACATAAAACCATTTGTAGTTATTTTAATCTTATACTTATTTTATAGCTAAGCTATAAATGATAACATCACCTTTTTTACAACAAAAATATAAAATTATTTTGTTGAAAGAGGAATTACAATAAAACAATGTTCAAAAAAATGTATTGAACAATACTAAAATTAAAAAAAAAATATATATTTCCTATATCCAAATTAAATCGATAGATTGTTATCAACCAAATTATTCTGTACATAATTGAAAATCCTTCAACCTCAAAAATCATAAGTTAAAAGAAGGTATAATAATAATAAATAATATATTTGAAATTTACATTTAACAGGTACATAACATGTACAATTATAATTAATTGCAATTGATGGTTTAGTGTGGAATCTATGATTTGTTTGTATAATTATATATTTATACATTTATCTTGTATAAATTTATATTTATTTACTTATTTTTAACAAAACATAGTGTAAATAATAATTCAAGTAATATTATAAGTGTACATATTAAGATAAATAAACCTAAAAAAAAATGCATATTGATGCAATTAATATAATTCATTTTCTATCCAGTTTTCCAATGAGTTCGTCGCAAAGGTTAGTTAGCTCAGCGTTTTCCACATCTTTTCTATCTAAAGATTCTTGTAATGATCTTACTTTCACCTCCAAGCGTTTATTCATTATTCTCATTTTTGAAGTTTCTGCCTCAAATGATCTTTCCTTATCATTTATTTCTTCAGTGGCTCTAAAAAATAAATACAAATGGTACAATTAATCGAAAATAACAGTAACTTCAAAAATTTTATTTTATTACTTATTCATTTGTTCAGTGGCGTGTATTTTTAATCTCATGTATTTGTCTTCATATTTTTTAAGAGATTCTTCAAATTCTTTAATACAGTTTTTATATTTTGTTTCATTTTCTTTCATGGCTTCTATTACTTGCTTTGAGGAATTATATTTTCTATGAAAATAAAAATTAAAAACAAAACATAATTTTTATATCAAAACACAAATTGTGCTTATTTAAAAAAATATTTTATATACTATTAAATTTTAATTTATTTAAACCAGTATTATGCGTATTAGTTATTAATCATTTTTTAAATGTTTTTTTTTTTTTTGCTAAAAACTAAATAAATTTAATAGTTATAGTTAATGTTTTCAAAAACTCATTGATTAAAAGCTATACAATAAACTACAAAACTTATAGTCATAAAATATAATCAAAATAAACTATACAGATCATCTTATTATAATAATTTAAGGCTGATTTTAAATGAATATTTAAAATATCCCAAATTATTATTATATATACTTATCAAACATTATCAAGTGTCAGGTAGTTGTGTCAATTTAATAATAATTTAACTATAAAAAATTACAAAAATTAAACTTTGTGTATCATTTTGGCTTTTGGTGCACTAACAGCTTTAAATATTTCTAGCCAAGTAATCTCAAAAAATACAAAGATACTAAAAATGCATGAAATATATTTCTTAGATAAAAATAATGATATTATAGACATGAATTTTTGTTTTGTTTTAAATATGCTCAATTTAAATGTCTTCTAACTTCTCAATCTGAAATGATAATTGAGCACTATATTTTCTATAGTTAACTTACTAAGCTAATAGCAACTAGTATGTATGAAATTCAGTATTTATTGAAGTGGGTACCTAATGTATGATGATTTTTATTAAACAATAAACTTGATAAAAATCAAGCTTGAAAATAATTACAGTCATAATATTAAACAATATTTAATTTATGATAGTAAAAAATAAAAAATAAATATTTAAATTTATTAAAAAGCAAGACAAAATGTACATAAATCAGTATTAGGTACTCAAAACTTATTTTTCGCTTATAGAGCTACATTTAAAAGTGCTCGGAAAAAATGACGTATCAAAATCTTACTATTTTTTAGATACCTAACTTTAACCTCAAAAAATTAAATATAGATAAGCATGTGCATATCTTGACATAATGTAATTAAAAAGCAAATAAATCTTACTCGTGAACATCATTGAATGCCATTTCTGAATTTTGGAGGTGACGTTCCATTTTTGCTCTTTCCTCTTCAATATATGCAATTCTTGCTTCATATTCTTTGTGTACGTCTTCTTTTTTAGAAACCATGTCAGAAATAGTTTTTTCATATTCTCCAATCACAGTACTATACATAAATATATCAGTCAGATTAAAGAAATGTCATCACATAATAATTACATAATTGTCAAAACATATCACTAATTAGTAATAAATAACTTAAAGTTATATGTACCTTAATTGATCTTTACTTTTAGTTACTGATATTAATGAGTTGGTCAAATTTTTAATTTTTTCTTTGTCAGCAATACATTCATTTTTTAGGTTCTTGATTTCACATTCCAACTTTTCTATTTTATCCTGTACACAGACAAACAAGTAATAATAATTATATCAGCAATAGTGATGCAATAGTGATAGGGTGAAAAGATATAGAATTTTACACAATATTTGAGATTTGATACTGTTAGCTGGCTTAAAATTATTTTATAATACATAATATAATAAAATTATGTTAATATTAATAAGTAATAAAATAACAATCTAAACTTTGGGCATTTATTGAAGTTTAAAATAAGCTTAAAAAATGACTTTATCAGATTATATTAATAAAAAAAATTTAATCATACATACTTGGTAAAATTTATCTCTATCATTATTTTTGGGACTGTTACTGATTTTTTCATCTTTGGTAATAGATTGATTCATTTTGCTGTCTGAAATCTGAAAAATTAAAAATATATATGTAAACGACTGATTTATTATTACTAATTTATCATAACAATACAACAATAATTAAGAATAAAAATACTGTTTAAACCAGAGGTGTTCTCAATATATTTCAATAAAGGGGGATGAAAAAAATGGTTACATAATAAGCTGTAAGGTTAGGTTAGGTAAATTAAGGTTAGGAAAATAAAGAACCTTGGGGGGGGGAGGGGATCTATCTTTCATATCCCCCATGAGAACGCCCATGGTTTGAACTATAATTACGCACATTCAGAGATTTATTAGATCCACTAGATTGCGGAGAACTAGGCAATACTGCTTTATCCGTGACTAGTAAATTTTCAAATGCTTCTTTCCTGAATGATAAAATTATAAAAACATAATTAATTAATGTTTGTTTTAAATCACTTTTATTTAAATGTAAGCTAGACATTAATTAGGTGGAAAATTTTATTTTTAGATTTATAACAATAGTTTATCATAATAAGACAAATTAACAATTCATAAATACCACTAAAAGTAAAGTGATTAATTTTTATTTCTTTGTTTTTTACATTATATATGTGTAATATAATAGAAAACTTTGTACCTCGATAACTAATTTAAAATAATAGACTAATAATCAATGCAATCAATACAACATTAAAACATATTTACTTACCGAGAATTAGACTCCTCGTTTGATTTTTTGACAATAGGGTCAAATGCTACATATAATGACTTTCTGGAAATAGTTAATCTTCTAATATCTTCTTCATTTAATGATCTCACGGATTCAAGAGCTTCTAGATTATCAAAATTGAATCCAGCTGATGAATTGAAACCTATTATCAAAAAATAATTTACTAACTACAACAAGCATAACTAGAATATTGTACAATATTCATTTCTATGATTAATTTTTATAAAAATACGTACATTATATTGTGGAAATAAATATTAAATTTTTATTTCCAAAATGCTTATCTAAAAGGTTTAAATTGGTCAACTAAAATTACTCAATATGATAATAAAATCTAGTAACTTAAATTAACCAATTTACCTACTAATGTTAAGTTAAAAAAGTTATCTTTCATTTATATCAGAACATAATATATAATAACATAGGTCATAGATAATAAGTATTTAAATTTAAACATTTTAACTATATTAAAACAAAAATAAATTTAACTTTAAAAATATTACCTTCAGCTATTACAGGCCCCGCTTCACTAGAATTTTTAATTTCACTATCAAAAATATTTGACTAAAAAATAAAAATAATAATAATAATTAGTTTGATACATAATTATATGAAGACATAAAAAATATTGACATTTAAATGTATGCAATTATTTATAAATAGATTTGGCATATATTTGTTCTTATTATAAGAATATAAATAACAAATTTATTAAATTGTATTAAGTATATTTTAGCAATATAATAATACTTGTTTTAATAGATTTTGATAATTCCTATTTATTTAACAAAAATTTAATGAACGAGTATTCTATATATTACACTTTGTGTATTATTACTTGTTAATGTTAACATTTAAAACTAATCAATAATCATACCTGGAATTTTTTTTCTGACCCTAAACCATCCATTAGCAAATTATTTTGTGTCTGTGCTGAATTGTTAAAGTCTGAATTTAGTT